CACTACCAAAGCCACCATCACGATCACTCTCGTTATCACTATGATCACTGTCATTATTATCACTACCGCTACAGCCAGTATCATTATGATCACTATCACAATCATCACTACCAGTATCATCACTATCAGTATCATCACTGTCTGCATCATAACTATCACTATGATCACTATCACCGCTATGAGTATCACCATCATCACTACGATCACTATCAATATCATCACTATCAGCATCATCACTACCACTATCACCACTATCAGTGCCACCATTATCACGACGATCACTATCAATATCATCATTATCAGTATCATCACTATCACTATCATCACTACCAGTATCATCACTGTCAGTATTAGCATTATCACTATGATCACTATCAGTACCATCATTATCACAATGAGCACTATCACTGTCATCACGCTCACTATGATCTCCATCACTATCATCACTATAAGTATCAGTACTATCACTATCACTATCATCACTATCAGTGTCATCACTGTCATAATCACCATTATCACTATGATCACTGTCACTTTCATCGCTATCAGTATCGCCATTATCACCATGATCACCATCACTATAATCACTATCACTATCATTACTATCCTATCATCACTATCAATATCATCACTGTCAGTACCATCACTATCACTATGACCACTATCACTAACTGTATCATCCCTATCACTATGATCACTGTCACTATCATCCCAGTCACTATCATCATACCTCTATCATTCCAATCACTTTCACATCATCTATGAAAGCACGGACGTGATTGGTTTTAGCGGGGCCAATGGGGTGTGTGGTTAACTGAAGAACATTAAGGCGAAACAAAGCGCTTCACAACGCGTACGCGAACACATAAACGAGTTTTTGTGTGACATTGAAGTTTGATTCAAACGCCACTCTGTTCGTAAAAGAACTCTAAAGCAACTTCTAGCAATTTTTAAGGACTGACTTCTTACTAGCAAAACGGGTTACTCACCTTGCGTCACTATAAATGAACACCTAGGTGGCAATCTTAGGGCCAAATGAACTACCGCACTATGCTTGTAGGGATACAGACACATAACGGGGTAAATTTGAATTACAACTTACCATCCTCGAGTAGGAACATAAAACCTCAGCGCGTAAAATTTTGAAAGCATGCTAGAACAAGTCCATCAATTGAAAATGAACATCAGGGAGGAATGCCGCGTATTCACAGTGACATGACATAGTGTATAAGACTATTATTTTGATGCTGGGGGGTGCATTACGAGTCAATGTGATCTTTGTGATTGATCTTCACTTGCACAACCTAATGAACTACTCCTAGCAATCGGTGAGGAAGTTGAGAAGTTGCCTTGTGCTAAGCGCGATTGAGTTTAGGCTTGATGTTTTTTTTTTTGTTGAAATAAGAGAAGAGTTTGGCTGGCTGAATTGTAAGCAACTAGATCTTTCCAAGCTCTGAAGAAGGCGAAACGCCGAAACGTCAATTGATCAAATTGTATAATAAGAACCCCGTGATTAGCTTACAAAAAAATTCAATCCATCAGTGCGGAAAGTTTTTCGAATATTCTGGATAAAGTGTAAAAATTTGTAAACAAACCGAAGGAAGAATTGCATTATAGTCACCTCAACATCATACCTCAGTATGATTTTTCTGCGCTGTGCCAGTCACATTTCTAACCCATGTAAAACTTTAATGGACAAACCTTCAATAGGTAATGAAAAAACTTGAAGGGAACAAAGCTATGGGTGTATCAAATGAGGTGTTCATTTTGCAAATTAGATATTTATCCATCAGTTTTTTGTCTGCCGAGCTTATTAATGTAATTGACTAAAAAGACTGCGAGTCAACTTGACGTTTCCAGACTCTGAAGAAGGCGATACCGTCGAAACGCCAGCTACTATTGTGTATTGCTGCGGTAAATTCATAGATTCACTACCTACAACCTCGCGTCTGCTCATCTGGGAAAACACTGAATTATTTTGTCAATAGCTAAGTTAATAGGTAGCCGGTCCTGAGAATTGTTACGTGAGTACTAGACTAATAGTTGTTTTCGTGATTTCTAGCCTCTGAAGGTTTGAACACGATGTGTCTCAACACAACCATGGCGGTTATGGCCTCAATTCACAGTCCGCAGTGACTTCAGGTAATCATTTTCTTAAGTTGGTCGAAAATTTGTGCTGAACTCGCAAATCCATTTTTTTTTTGTATATGTTTTAGCCCTTGTTTTGTTCAGAAGTTTATCGCTACGCATGAGTGCAAAGATCTAATTTTGGCATAGATTTTGTGCGGAAGCACATACAGAGCTACATTTGTTGATTCCAAATAAATCTACAGGTCTAGACATTGGAGTAATATCGTATAAAGGATGTATAGTGATTGCACTGTGTCACATTTGGTCTGAGATGCATCAAATGCTTTGGTGGAGCGATTGTGTGTACTTCTCTTTGTGAACTTACACAACAGCCAAGTGCAAGCATCACAGCTGTTTAAAGCACTTCTAGAGGTCCCTGCAGATTAAGGAACGTTCACGAATAGGCACTGCAAGATTGAGTGACAAAGAGTGAAACACCCCTCTTGATGTATCGTCAACGCTTCATCTACTCAACAAGAACAGCAGCCCTTTTCTTAACATGCGACGAGAAATGGATCCTATGGAACAAGCGTCGACGTTTAGCTCAGTGATAAGCGCGATGAATTTTTTCGAGCACTCACTCACAACTGAACTAGCATACAGAATGCCATCCTAATCGCATGATGGTTTATCGCAGTAATCTGCCAAAATTTTTTGGATATTTGATACCAGTAAAATCCATTAGGAACTTCAACAGCTGTGCTACACATCGGTCAACAGCAAGTGAAAGACTCTTCTACGGTGATAACGAGAAGTTACACGTAGCAATAACGACTAACTCAAAGATTGAACGAGTGTTTATTGAGAAGCGTTGTGTCATCCACTACGTTGGTTCGATTCAGACTTCTTGCCTACCGACTGATACTTTTTTAACATTTCTATATTTTTGGTGCGCCAGCAATGCTTCACAAACTAAATCGAGGCCAAAATTACTTTCGAGGACTTTTTTGTTTTCACAAGCTCAGAGTTTAGTGGTAAGACTGAGTTTGATCCTTGTTGGAAACAACCTGTAGATCCAACGATTTTGATTCGAATTATTGAAACATTCTCTGGGTGAGATAGACTCCCAAAAATGCAGGTTTGAGTCGAAGATTAGCTTGCGTGCAACAAAATGGAACAGAGATTTTCGCCTATGAAAACTGTTATGTGTTTGTTGAAATTGCTTCGTTATGGTTCACCAGAAGGACGAAAATGACCATACTATTCTTTGGTTCCATTAATATCAGCGAGAACTTTATTGAAGTCGTTTCATTCACCATCTCTCAATTCGCCTTTCCGCGACCGAATGAAAAGGAGTCGATCCGAATGCTTTGTCCAAAGCAGTGAGAGATAATGTTGACAAACCGTCACAGTATTCGAACTTTGAAAAATCAATATGAACCAAAAAATAAATTATCAAAAGTAATTTTTGAAACAGAGAATCGAATCTTGTGGTTGTAGCAAGGATAAAAACAGCAAATGTAAAGTGCATATTTCTGCTGCAACAGGATCTCATACGATTTTAGCTCGTACCTTTCGAACAGCCAACAACTTTATAGTGTTCAGATTCATCGCGCAGCATTCCCTGCTCATTTAAGTTCCCACAAAGCGAGCTCAATTTCCCACGTGAATGATTTCTAATCTGTAAAGCGGTCTCAAGTCAGCTAAATATCTTGCCATGCCGAGGTTTATCGAAAAGCGCTTTGAAAGGGTCGATTAAATTAAAATTCCTCGGATGGTTGGAGGCGGTAGACAGGTTAAGCTGTGATATGTCTCTATGGAAACTTGACGAAGTCGCAAATGTAATTTGATAAAAACACAGTGTTGATTTTAGAGAACTAAATAAGGCGTGCAATTCTCAAGCGCACCTTGTTGTACATCTTGTTGATCACTGCCTTAGTGAATATTCACTGTGAAGAAATTAATAGAATCGATCTGCATTTGATTTCGTTTGAGAGTGCAGAGCACATTGTTGGATTTCCTAAAGATGACTGCTGATTTTTAGAAGCATTAAGTTTGATGGGAGCTTAGTTTTTCACGCAGATTTTCTATCTCATATGTTGTCCGTTCTAGCATCGTAGAAGCGCTGACATATCCTTCACAGAGCCTGACAGCTTCTTTGTATGCCTCTGATGCTGTGAATCATTCATAACTCGTACAGGCAGTTGATCCTTCCCAAAAGAAGGCTCTAAATACATATCTTTTGACGGCCGAGTATTCCATATTTCGCATGACAGTGTTTAGCATATGACAATGAGGAGTCTCGATCTTCACGCCTGCAAACCATTTGAATCAGATGCTCTTCTATTCGAATCGGGATGTTTTACAGAACAGCATAACTTTTATGTCTGGAAACAAAAATGTGCTGATTATTTTGTTAGAGGAAACCATTTTAAACCTCTCAGAGAAAGGGAAGTGTTTGCTTAATAGCCAGATACACTGGTTGCGGAAGTGATTCGAGCCTTATCAATGTTGTCCTGGCATCAGAAGTCAGTAAATGAGCTTACTCGTTTCTAAATAGGAACAGAGTTTGTGACAAGTTCGTAATAAACCGATGTGTTGCCCAGCTGAGAGCTTGTATGTAATCCTTTCTTGATTTTTTTGTCGTTGCAGCTGCATCAGGCCTATTGTGATGGTAATTTGTTCTTTATTTCAACTGAAATCAACTGCTTTCTCTGGCTTTATACGTTTTACAAACAATGCCTTCTCCAAAAATTTCGCACAGTAGGTGCAGTGCACTTCATGCTATTTTCCTCTACATAAAATCTACAACGCATTGCGGTTACGTGCTAATTCATAACATAATTTGAAATTAATAGTATTTCAATTCACTTCGCATTGTTATGATGGTTTCTATATACCTAAGAGAATTGAGTGGTGAACAAAAACGCGGTCTCAGGCGAGAATCGAACCCGCGTTTCATCCTATCCGGGGACGCGTGCTCTAACTACTACACCACCCACCGAGGCAAATTTGCCCGACCACACATTCTTCAACATCTCAATGTTAGGTATCAACCACCAACCTTCGACAGGTTTGGTCGGGTATGCGATTTCGCTTTATAAACCCAATTGAGCTGACAGCTATCCTATTTACTAATACTCGGAATTAATAGTTAATAGGAATCTTAAGTATATAGAAAACATAATACGATTTAGAAAAAAATTCAAGAAAACTTTTGGGGCCACTTGATCTCATTTCAATGAAAATAAGTTTCTACTCGAGATTTCCTAAAAATCCTGGTTTTTGTAGTGCCTTCAAATAGTCATTTGGTGAGATGACGGCGTTTTGAAAGCTTTACGAATTCAAATTCCAACTATAAAATATCACCATCTCAGAATTATTGTATTAAGTTCAAAACGATAATACAATACGGCACTATGGATTTCCAGAAGAACTTCTATAGCTCTTCCTTTCAAAAAGATATGGTTGAAAGTGTGTGTTGAATCTATTGGGCGACATCAACCAGCGTAATCTCAAACGAAAAAGAGATGTACTTTCAAAGAACTATTAGGAGAAATCTCATCGGTTAAGCTTATGTCACTTCATCAATGCGTATTCAGAGTGTTTTTTTCATTACTGTGCGGTTCCAAGTATTTCTAGCATCCAACTGGCTTTTTCATCTTCTTCCTTAACGTCGTGGAACGCTGACTAAGCGCACTTCCTTGCAATTTTGAGGGCAGCTTGATCGATTAAAAATCACACAAATATGCTTATTATTATTATTCACATCTGCTAGCCGTGGAGCGTGTAAAGCCCAGCTCAGTTTCCAAAGCCCTCCGGCAGTCAACAAGAACACCCTTTGGAACGCCACACCCAGGCTATCCTTGAGATTGCAAGGAGGCATTGTCGACCAGTATTCTACGTCATTCAAGAAGAAGACAAAAAAGCGAATCGGGTGCTTGAAGTGCTGGAATCCGCACAATGAAAAAGTTGGGATGACGAATCGTATAAATAGAATAATAAATAAATAAATATTAGCATCATTCTGACGACGTATAGCAATGATGTGGATGGCAGTACATCTGAAAGTTTTCATTGAAATTCTTCTGAAGGCTAGAATAAGAAACTGTATTGCAACTAAATCGCAGCGAACCTAGTCTATACCATAGTCTGAGTAAATAAAAGCCGCTTCTTTTGAAGTACATCGCTGAGTGAGGTTTTTTGATCGAGAAGTACCCACATAAAGGTCCAACTCGCTCGACAACAAAAACGAAGAGCACTACAAGGGCGAACGACGTGAGTAGTCAATTCGATTCTTGACTCTGAAGAATACAAAGCGTGCCAAAACGATGGCCAAATAAACTTTTGTTATCAACTTCGTGCTTTAGCTCAATCAGCAAAGTAATGTATAGCAGCTTTCCTCAACACAGCTGACCACGGTTGCTGAGGTCCAAAATATAGTGTTATTCTGATAACTTATTTTGGGCCTTTTTCTTGAAGTTTGGTATAGCACTTATACAGTACTGATTCGTGCTCCTAGGCTCATCATGGCATGAGATAATCCAAATAGATCCCATATATAAGAAATCGGCTGAACCAAAAGGTACCGTACTAAAAATGAGCCTGGAAGGCATAACATCTGTCTAGTAGTGTATATGAGCCATACCATATCTCGAATAAGACTCAAAACGTGGCATCAGATTATTGTATTTGAGCAAGAGCTATATAAACAATCGAAAGGGAAAGTCTAAATTGTTGTCTTTCCACTAAACTATTAGATTATCTTTTGCCTTGCCTTTGTGACATCACGTTCAAATCTCTGGAAAAATGGATTTGGTCCCTGGTGGATCTTACCAGAAGCATGGAGCACCATTTTGGTATCAAGTTTCAGATCACTTCATCAGAAACTATGTTGTCAGAGGTCTTCTATTTTTTCTAATCTCGTATTGGTGCTTTTTTGATCACTTAAAATAACATCATGAAAGCATAGATTGCTCTAAGTATTTTTAATATATCCAAAATTGAGTGATCTTTCACATATCTCATAAAAATTATTTGAGCCAATATGTCATGTAGTCTGTTATAGGGCAAACTTATATAGCCCGATACACGTGTTTCGACTTTGACGGTCTCATTAGTCGGGCGGTACCCTTCGTCCTTCAATCCTCTTGGGCTCTACAAGTTTGCCCTAAAACAGGGCACATGTCATGTTGGCTCGAATAATAATCTATGTGATATGTTGAATTCTGAGCGTGATCTTGAGAAGACACTCGAAAAGAAAGGTGTGATCTTTCACACTTTGATAGTCTGCTAATTATTTCCCACACTGCAAATGGAAAACTATTGACTCACTAACTTAGTTGATTTCTCATTTTTATGTAATCGTCTTGACCTTTTCAATTATTTGCCACTGCACCATGACAGTATGAATAGTAGTATCTCCATAAGTCAAATCACCATGGTATACACTATCAGCAGATAAGGATATCACTTGCTTTGAGCCGATAGATCTAGTGTTGTATAGGCGCCTATTTCGTCCTATTGGGACACATCAGTAGCGCCTCCCTCGGTTCCGTCGATCCCTTGAGGCTAAATAATCTTTTAAAGGAATCAACGCCGAGTGAAAAATAATCACCCTAAGTCAAATGATGGTATTACCTGACGTTGCGGCAACCGGCAGTTGAGTTCGCTGCTATTCTAATGAATCATGCCTCTGCTATTGACCGCTCTTTTATAGACCCACTATTCCTGTCGGCTCAAAACATCATATTTTTATCAGATTATTTCGTTCTGAGCTGGCCTTCAAAAGAGCGGTTAACAGTAGAGGTATGATTCATTATGAAGCCGCAAACACCACAACGTTAGGTGATACCATGATTCGACTTAGGGTGGTTATTTTTTTTTCGGCGTTGATTCCTTTAAAAGATTCTTTAGCCTCAAGCAATCGACGGAATCGAGAGAGGGTGCTACTGATGAGTCCGAATAGGACGAAATAGGCGCTGGTATGGCGCTAGACCTTTCGTTTCAAAACAGGTCATATCCTTCTCAGATTATTTCGTTTTGGAAGGGTCTGAAAAAGAGCGGTTGATAGCAGAGGTATTAGCAGCAGAGTTTCCCGAGCTGAAAAAAAGCAACATCAATCAGAATTAAAAATTAGTCGAAAAGCATTTGTATCCGGAAATTGCATTTGTGACTGAGCCATGTTGGGACTTGTCGCAATTATTCAGGAGACTTAATTCTTGTGATAGTAGACTCCCTGCTAATCAACAAATCACGCCGCCACCCGCTGTTGACAACCTATTTCAGAATTCAAGGGATACAAACATACCTAAACGAAAAGAAAGTGGTAACTGCTCTTAATCCACACTATTTATAAAATGAAGCTGTCTAAATTTTCAAGTCAGTAAGCGTTTCAAATTATTGATAGAGCATCTGGCACCGCCATTTACCACGCGGAAGTGCAGGTAGAAATTGCTCAGCATTATAATGACTAACATTTTTATTATTATCGAACGCTGAATCTCGTGCTGATATCAGTGCGAAATTTCAAACAGTAATGTCTTCCTGATATGTGCACAGATAGTCATAATAATTAACAAGTATTAACAATAATAAGTAATAATAATAATATTGATAGTAATAAGTATAACAGCATTAAGTAATAATAATAATAAGAATATTAATAGGTAATAATAAGTGATAAGTGATGAGTAGGAGTGTTGTTACAAGATATATTCTAACACGATAATATTTTGGCGAATTTCGTTTTCTTCAAAGCTCAGAAAGGTAAAGTTGGCACGAATCTTGCCAGCCAAAGACCTCCATAATGTCATAACAAAAACCTAGGAATCGAGATTTTGAATACATTAGAAACAAAACAGCTTTCCCACGCAATTGCCTCTCTCTACTAGTCTTACATTGTTCCACATGGAGACCAACGTTGCAAAGTCTACACACGAATGAGGTGAACACTTTTCTGACATTGAAATATCAGTCTGTGATATTGTATAAGACCATGCATGATAACATAGCCTTCTTTGTTGCCATTATTTTTAGTTTCTTAGAATTTATCAAAATAATCAAAACGTTTACACACAGAAACTTTATATTAGTGCGAGACAACGGGAAATTCTATTCTACATTCTTCACCTCTACGTCTCTGTATTCTTATGAGCTCCTACTGCGCTATTTGTTCTAATATTATGTTTATCGACTAAGTGTTCTCTTATATAGTAGCAGTATGTTGAAGAACTTGCAACCTCTGAAATATAACAAAACGATTACCTCACTTGTACTTTTTGATTTGGTACTCATCGACAAACGTCTTCATGGGAACAAATGAATGAATAATCCGCCAAGAACCTCCATTTGTAAAGGGTGCCTACCAAATGAGATTGCCTCCTCCATAGTGAGCTTCACTCTGGAAGGTTCAATTTGATGGACATATATCGCATGCTGAGAATACTATCAGCTAGTAAGTATATAAACTTATCGTGAACAAAAGAAGTGGTTGGTTCAAATCTTGTTATGAAGCAAAAAGATTTAATTAGTGGCTTCTGATCGTTGTGATGGAAGAAACAAATCGCAAATCACTTTCCGAGACCGATTATACCAAATATAAAGATAATAACTTTCCGTTACTCAGAGAAGAATCATGGTATTCTTTTAGGAAAGTAAGCAATGCATTTATATTTTAGGACCCGAAAGTAGAAGTGTTTCCGGAAATGCTTCAATTTCCAGTAGAGAACGTTTAAATTCAAGTACATTAGGGCTGCATAAATCGAGCTCCTTACTTTCAAATATCAAGCACAGGAGTGCATGAGGAGCGCCTTGGAGGCTCCTTCATGAAAGGGCACAACGTAGCATTTGAGCTATGATACACCCACAGGCTGGCTAGACCTTGTGGCGAATGTGTCACAGGCGATTGTAGAACGGGAACCGACTGTGGTAGAGAAGTTAAAAGGAAACTCGAACGTCCTTGCATTCAGTATTTCTATGAGAAATCGAATTTTTATCTAGCTGTTTC